CTTCCCCCTCCTCTTCGTCTATCCCCTTCCTCCTCGTCTGTGCATGTTCTGGGCTGGCGCTGTCTTCCTGTGTGAAGCGCCAGACCCATTCACACTATGAAACGATGATGATGATGTATGTTCAGGGCTGCATTACAACATTGATTGTTCGGATCACTGGTATCTAAGTCTTCCGCTGTGCTATCTTATACCTTGTATGGAAAGGTCGGTTCTTGTTCTGGTCTGCACCTATACGGTATGCAACAAGGTGCCAATGCGCAGTATGGGCAGCTCTCCCTGATCAGAAGCATGCTGGTCTGCTATGGGTTATTGCGCATTTGGCAATCCCGACTGCTGAATGGCAGGCCTCCAAGAGTCGACATCATGATACTGCCTGTACAGCCGGATGTGGGGAAGCTGAGAATATCCCGCACCTGTTTTCTCAATGCCCCGTGGTGCACTCTCTTTAGGAGTGGTGGGCCGATATGGCGGAGGGCACCCCGCTGCAGGTCACAGAAGATGACGTGACAGGAATCCTGCTGGGACCGGTTATGAAGTCGCGGCATGAGGGCAAAGACAGGCTGATCGCCGGGGAAATGCTCAGGGCGGAACTTCTATGGGTCATCTGGACTATGCGTAATGAACGGGTTAGGCAGGGTGTACAGTGGGCCCCGAATGCACTCAGACGACGTGCGGTGGAAAATATTAAAACGGCGATTTCCAGTGATATGGCACGATGTACTAAGACGTCTGCTGATGGGGAGGCACGATCCTGGGCCCGTTGGGCGCCCTATGAAGCCCTTGTGGCTCCGGGTGAACAGCCTGGCCAGCTTCACTTTGGCCCGCGTTTGCAAGGTGTAGATCCATGTCAAGACTTAGATCCGTAGGCCTGTACATTAGGTAGGGACTTCATGGCGCTAGGTAGGTAGTGGTAGTAGCATGTAGCTTGAGCTTTCAAATAAGTGCAAATAATTGCATTCAAAATGCTGGGGAACTGGGGGGTTCTGAGATACTAGGATTGTCATAGCAGTGCATATACAAATTGGTGAGTTTCAAATAGATCTATCAAAAAAAAAAAAAAAAAAAAAAAAAAAAAGAAGTTGAGTACTATCGCCGATTTGAGCTATTAGCTTGAGTGTAGAAGCAGGGTGTTTGAAGTAGGTGGTCTAATCCATAACATTACAGGGATGTAATACCCCATTGGGGGTCTAAGGAGACATTACTAGTAGTAGGGAGGAGGATCTTAGTAATAGGTCGTGATTGAGGGCGCATCGGTTTCAAATCGAAATGGTGAGAGGACATATGGGCTCAGGAGACTACTAGTGCCACCCCCCCCTCCGTCCCCCCCCCTCGGGGGGTCCCCTCCGGCGTCTGGGTACCGCTGAGTGTTTCCCGGCTGATAGGAGACCCCATGATGGGTGTGGGATATGAGGGGAGCGATGGCCCTAGCAGTACCCCCTTATTGGTTTCTCGTGCCGTAAGGGTAAGGCCCTTGCTAGATACTCGTCTGTTCCCCCCTCTCCCTGATGCTTGCCGGTGATAAGCAACCGGACTGCTGGCCCCCAGAATAGATGGGGCCTTTGTGTTTGTTAAAAAAAAAAAAAAAAAAAAAAAAAAAGAAGAAGAAGAAGAAGAAGAAGAAGAAGAAAAGAAACTGCGAATGGCAAATGGCACTGTGAAACTGTGAACTGCGAATTAGGGCTGGTGTGCGCCGGGAGGGTTAGTCGGGTTGGTTAGGTGTTGAGTCATGTCTAGACGGTAGGAATGATGGTGGCAGGGGTGCCATGGTTGTGCCTTCAAGGTGGGAAGATGATGGTAGGGTTGTCATCGTCATGCCTGCTAGAACGGCCGAGGTGTGCCCGTTGGCGGCTGAAGGGGAAGTGCGTGGAGATTGGTCTGGCCGGCATGACCTTTGCCCGTCAACGTCGGCTGTATGGCCACTTGTGGTGCTCCGGTCTAAGACGACTTTCCGCTTGCCAGGGGAACAACGGGCCGGGAAGATTAGGGCTGGAGTGCGAATCGACTGCTTTGTGGAGCATAGTCTGGCCGACATGCCCCTCGGCCGCCAACGACAGCTGTTCGGCCATAGGTGGAGCCTCTGTTACTGGCGACTTCTCATTTGCAAGGGGAATGACTGGTTGGTGCGATACGGCCGACAGTGTGAATCGGACGAGTGGCGAGGTTGCGATTGTGACACTCAGCCGGCGTGTTGACCTATGGTCCTCTGGCAGGTTTGGGGTTCTGTCGTCCGGGCGTTGACTAGGGGAAGACATGGCGCTCGATGCCGGTTTGGTGTGCACTTCACTATGTGCCCGGGTGGGTCGTATATGAGCAGGAGGGCACAGGGAAGTGGTATCTTGGAGCTCGCCGGTTGACGGGGATGTTTTGGATGGAGGTGATTAGGCTGATGGCCTTGGTGACTTTCGTCCTTGTGGCTTATTTGGTGGGGAAGTACGAGAAGGAAGCGTTGTCACTTTTGCGTGGGGTTGGCTTCACCCTTGCCCGATGCTTGGCACATGTTGGTGGAGATGTTTGGCGCTTGTTGGGCGGGTTGGATGCTTTGCTTACAACCTTGGTTGCAGAACTCGGTCACATCTTGATCGCGGCTCTTTCGTGGCTGTGTGCGTATGAGGTATCTTCCATTTGCCTCCATCTCGGGCACTATTTGGCATGTAGGTGGCGCTGGTGGCTGACTGTGGACGGTGCCTCAGGTGTGTTAGTCGCACTTTTGGTGATTGGAGCTAGGTGCGGCCGCAGACTAGGATCTGGTGGGCTTACACGCTCTGCTCTGAAGAGGTGGAATCCGCTCGCACGGCTGCAGCGTTTAGAGCAGCGGTGTTTGGAGCTTGAGGCTCGCCTGGGAAGTCAGGGTCCTGCGCCTCGGGTGGAGTCGTCTTCATCAAGTACTTCGCAAGCTCCGCAGCTGGGTGCCACATCTGTTTGGGGGATTGGTACAGGTAGGTACGGGTATTACTCTAGTGACTCGGAGGCATCAGGGTGAGTGGACGGAATTGATCAGTGACCTTGTGGGAAGGAGTGATGGCTGCGAGGGGGAGGGCGACTACTTCGGAGTGGAATCTCATGAGGAGATTCCGGAAGGCGGTTCTGACAAACACCTTCTTCGATGATATGGCAGCGACCCACGAGCAGGTGGGTGACGAGATCTGCCTTAATATAGGCGATGTGGTGGCATGGGTTCAGGCTACATACATGAGAGCTCACGTGGTGGTCATGCATTTTGGAGGGCGGAGTAGGGATTTCTCGTCCACAATGAAATTTGATACGGTTAAAAGGTGGGAGACCACGTGGCCTCTGTTGGATAGAAAGAATTTCCCAGGGTTTGTTTCCATCGAAGGGCCGGGAATGGTTTTTTACTGGGCACCCACGGCCCAATTGCGTAATTGGTTGTTAACTACGAGGATGGGGGAGGACGTTGTGATCGATAAAGAACGGCTTCGGGTTTCCTTTGCGGAGTGGAAGACACCGGTGGATTTGGAGTGGGATCGGCTTATGGAGAAGAGGCGGAATCCATGGGTTAAGTTTCTACATCCCCCTCCGCTGGCGAGGCTGCACTTGAGAACGGTTGCTCGACAGCTGTTTGGTCAGTTGAAGGATGAGGGAGGGCACTCATCTTATGATGAGAACGACAAGGAAATGATTCGATTCGACCTGCACCCCCCCCCTAAGGCGGTCGGGTTTGGTGCGATTGTCGGTGGGCATACCTTGCTATGGTCGGCCGGAGGTTCGGTATGTGACAAGTGAGACTCCCTGGTGTGACCTGTGTCGGAGACATGGTCATTTGGCTAGCGCGGGCCGGTGCCTAACGGTGGGGGAAACGAGGGAAGAGATTCGTCGCAGGGAAGATCATATACGTTTACACCCGGTTCGTTCGGTCAGCGCTGCTGAAGAGGTTGAGGGTTGGGTCCTCTTCGAGATGAAGGCGGATGTGACGATCAGTGCGGAGATTATGGCTGATGAGAGCTTGGGAGATGTGTGTGGTTTGGCTCAAGCACGTTTCCTCCCGCCTTTGAGGGGCTGTGTGCGTGGGGGCTGGGCGCGCGGAAGTGGTATTGACTCAGGGGGCGTGGGGGTGCCAACTCGGCCGGTGACATCACCGTCTCAGGACCGGATGCGTGGGAACGCGCCTTCGGGTGCGCGGCGGGATGAGAGTGATATGCGTGATTACCCCTCGGAGTGCCGGAGAGATGACGCCCCTGGAGTACCGATTGATGGAGTAGGGATGCCGCCCTTTGTGCAGGCGGGCCAGGCGCGGTCATCGAATGGGGGAGTGGGGGGGTCGCAACAGGGGGGAGCGGCGGGGCAACATCAAGAAGGTTCAACTCCGCAAAGGATGGTGGTTCCAGGGCGATTGCCTACTGAAGGTCGTCAAGGGCATGAGGATGCCATTATGCAGGATGCTTCCCAGGTGCCGATGGTGGAAATGGTCAGTGAGCCACAATAGAATGATCCCCCCCCTTTCCAAGGTGGCTCGGGTCTGCGGGAGGAGGATTGAGCCGATTAAGTGGTGAACTTCGGAATGAGGGAAGAACTCAGGGTGGACAACTAATTCGGTCAATGGGCGAGCACCGGAATGAGGTAAGTGCCCTGGATGGACAGCTAATCTCACCGCCGCAGCAGGGTGGTGATGGTCAGCAGGTCAGGGCTACCCGGGGGGAAAATTTGTCGGGTTTGCATGGAGAAGTACAGCCCCATGGCGCGGCTGACTCACGCTCGCGGCAACTTGTGTGCCTGCCGCGGCAGTCGGCCCAGCCCTCTGCGGCATGCCTTGTGGTTACTTCGTTGTCAGCTGTGCCCATGGTAGGGGCCTCGTTGCTTCCGGTGGCAGCCCAACACCCTGCTCCGATTGGCCCCTCGCGGCCCTCGCACTTGTCAGTAATACATAGTACGACCTCGATTTCCATTTCCCGAGTGAACATCGAGGCATGTCATTCGCTTACGTTTCAGGGAGCGGCTGGCGGTTGGTTGATGGATGAAGCTGGTCCCTCTTCTCGGGTGCCTGCAGGAGGGTGGTTTATCGAGGAACCTGCTACACGAGAGGGCATGCTTAGGTCGCCCGTTCCAGAGGGTGAGACTACAAGAGAGAATGGTCCTCCCCCTCAGGAGGATAAGGCTGATTGTCCTTTAATGAAAACAATTGCGGGGCCGTTACGGGGTGACATGTGTGATGGGAGAAGGCTCCAGGAGGAGTTTGGGGAGGGACCCTCAACTAGGAAGCACTCTCGCTCTTGTAAGTCAGCTAGGAAGGGGAAGACTCAGGGGAAGGTTGATCTTAGTAGAAAGGGGAAGCAGCCGATGGCGCAGGGCTCTGCTAGCTCGGAGGAGGATGAGCCGCCTAGGAAGGTGAGAGAAGTTTGTAAGGGAGGGGTGCTGGTGATCCCAGAGACGGATGGGGAGCAGCCGGTGATAAGGGGAGGGAGTTCGCCTTGTTGCCCTTCGCAGGGCATGGGCCCCCCGTCTAATGTGCGGTTGACTAGCCGGCCTGCGGTCCTCACGCGACTTGAACGGGTTATTGAAGTAAGTGATGAGGAAGGCTCGAACGCGGTGCCTGTTCAGTCAGTATCGTGCCAGGAGATTAGGGCACCACTGAGGGACCTTGCCCGAGGAGCACTCCCCCTCGCCCGATTTGCCTCGAGGCTGGTTGAGGTTATCGTCCCCGGACCCCGCATGGCGTGCGCAGGAAGAAGGCCGGGAGGAGGAGCCAGAGCCCAGAACGGCTGGGAGGAATATGGATCCAAGAGAGGGAGACGTTTTTAACGACAGGTTGTAGATGAAGCTGTTGGACGACGTTTTGGAAAATATGCTCTCAGAAGGGCGTTTGTATTTAGTGTCGTTGGTTTTCATGGAGGCCGAGTCGATTTTGCAGGTACTCACTGTGTCGGCATCGGCGGGGGTGCATAATGCATGGTTCCCGATGATTGCTTTGTCCTCAATGCCTACTCAGCAACGAGACTTGTTGGCAGATCAAGAATGGTTGGGGGCTGCGGCTGAGGTGGTGATGATTCCGGGTATCTCTGCCATCCGGTTGCTGGCCCTTACTAATCATGGTTTTTCGGTGGGGCTGTATTGCTTTTTTGTGCGGGCGAAATATGAGAGCTCACAGGGGATTACTTTGTCGGCCTCTAGTTTTGGTTGGCGGAACCTTGCGCTGGTCCTTGACTTTGCAGAGGCTGAAGAGTATGCAGCTGTCACAGCCATGTCGGCACCCTTGTGGATCCTTAAGGACCTTGATAGGCGTATGCCGACAACCAAGCGCTTTTCAAGTACTAGATTTTGGTACTCGATTGATGAATGGTTGTACGGTCCGCGGCGTCGAGTCCAGTCTCCACGAGGGTCTGCTTCCAGGACCTCCACACTAAGGACTGGCCAAACAGGCCCTTCTAATAGGCAGAATGGCCCAGTGGTTCCGTGAAGGAAGCCGACAGTCTCGGTTCGGGTGTCGCGTTCGGATCGGTCCCGGGGAAGTGGCCGAGGGTAATTCGGACTCTCTGCTATTCTATGGGAGCATGTTGAAGGGTTTGGTGGGTATAGCACCCCTATCATTATTACTGTGCATTTGTTTATGTTCAAAGTGGGTTCATTGAATGTTAGAGGTTTGGGGTATCGGCCAGTCAGAGTTAAAGCTAAGGAAGTTAAGAGGATAGTTAACAGAGCTAGGTTGTCAGTGTTGTGCCTCCAGGAGACGAAAATCTCAGAGTCCAGGATGAGGGGGGGGCGGTTGTCCCTCCCGGAATTTGGTTTCGGGGGCCCCTTTCAGTTGTGGGCCTCGACAGTGGGGACGAAAGGGGGGGTCGCAATAATCCTGACGAGGTTCTTCACGGGTAAGGTTCTAGACTACTTTTGGGATACGTTGGGAAGGTGGGCGTGGGTGTTCATTGAGGAAGGGGGGAAGAAGTTGTTGGTGGCTACTGTTTATGCTCCGGTGGATGTCACTGAGCGTAAGTGGTTTTGGAGAAATTTTGCGGCTTGCCTTCCGGAGACGGATGCTGTGTTATTGATAGGGGACTTCAACACGGCCATCCGTCCGGGTATGGACTCGGTTGTTTCGGGGGATCCAAGGCTGGATGCGGAGGCCCTATGTGGTTTAATGGCTGACATAGCCTTGGTGGATGTCTTCCGCATAATTTCCCCGGATGACAGAAGCTTCACCAGGTTTGGGACCTCCCCTCTCTTGCGAAGCAGGTAGGATATGGCGTGGGTTTCGAGTGATCTCTTGCCGAATCTTCAGGGCTTTGACCAGTAGCTGGTACCAATATCGGACCACAAGGTTATTGTTGTTTCGTTGGCATTGCATCCCCGAGTGGCCAAAAGGCCCCCTCCGATGTCTGCCCCGGCGTGGTTATTGTCCGATGCCCTTAATAGGGAACTTGTCCAGCAACATTGGGAGCATTGGCTTTCGTTGCATCCTCAACATGTGTCGCCCCTGGAGGCTGGAGCATCTCCATCATGGTGTTCAGGCTTTGGTTGGGATTGTGAAAAAGAAGGCTAAGGCTTCAAGGCAAAGCGCATGATCAAACAGGTCAGGAGTACCTTCGTCGGATGGAGGCATTGGGTGAAGTCCCGCCACCAGGAAACGAGGATGAATGGTGGGCAGAGTTGGTTCTTTTGTATTCAGAATGGGCTAGTTGGCAGGCTCGTGATGCGGAGTTGTGGGGTCTCGGTTCAAAATCTAAGTGGGTACAGGATGCGGAACGCATGTCCAGGGCTTTCTTCACCCAAATGAAGAAGACTTCTCACTCACCGTTGATCGTGGCAATGGGCCACCCATTTGATCCGCTTGAAGCCAAAGCGGATACTACTCCCGACATCATCAAGTATGTTGAATTGTTTTATGAGAATTTGTATTGTGAAGATGAGTGTTGGCCAGAGGAGGACATGACGGTTGTGCCGGCTAAGGATGTATGGGACAAGTGTGCCACTCAGGAGTCACCTGAGCATAAGGTTTTTTTGGATGCACCCATTACCCAAGAGGAAGTAGCAGAGGCGCTGTCCGGGATGCACAAAGGTAAGGCGCCGGGCCCAAATGGTTTGCCGACCGAGTATTTGATGATTGCAGCATGTCCTCTCCTTCCGTTTTTCTGTGAGGCCTTTAATCGTCTTTTCTCAGGGGGAGAGGTTCCTCCGGCTACTTTTGGTCAGGCCACAATTGTCCTCCTGTACAAGAAGGGGAGTATTGATGAAGTTAGGAACTGGAGGCCCATTTCTCTTTTATCGGCGCCGTACAAGCTTTACGCGAAGGTGCTAGCTAATAGAATTGTCGTGGTGCTGCCCGCCATTGTTCATTCCACCCAGACTGGTTTCGTCCCTGGAAGACAGATCCTTGTGAACGTCCTCCTGGTTCGCCAAATCATAGAAAGGGTTCAGGATTTCTAGCCCCCGTTAGCTACTCTCTTCTTGGATTTTGAAAAGTCTTATGACAGGGTCAGGTGGCCTTTTCTCTTGCAAGGTATGAGGTGTAGAGGGTTTGGGGAGGGTTTTGTAAAGGCTGTTGAGGGGGTGCTGGGGATAGCGGTGGCGAGGGTGCAGTTTAATGGTTTCTTGTCGTCTCCACTAAGGGTCACATGTTCTGTGCGACAAGGTTGCCCCTCTCCCCTGCTTTGTACATTTTGTATGTGGAGCACTTGCATGAAATGATTCGTGCGGACGACCAAATTTTGGGTTTCGAGTTGTCGGGAGGGGGCCAAGTCAAGTCCAATGCGTTTGCTGATGACACCGCGGCGGTGTCCCGGGCGACGCAGCAGAGCATTTCGGCTTTGCGGAATGAGGTTGCTCTCTTTGAAAAATATGCGGGTGCAAGGATTAATTGGGGAAAGTCGGTGGCAGTGATTCCGGTTGGGGTGGATGGAGCGATTTTTGAAGGAATGAGGACCCAATTGCCCAGAGACCAATTTTGTATCTCGGTATATTGGTTCCCGCGACACTTTCTTCTGGCCAACAGCTTGAGGATCTGTTGCACCAGGCGGTGGTGCGCATGTGGCCTGTGCAAAGAAGGTGTCGCATGGGGTGTTTGGGAAAGTGCTCATCACTAATAATGCGGTGTCGGCGACACTGTGGTATGCAGGTGCGCTTTCGGATCCTTCCAAAAGGGTTTAGAGGGATTATAAGCGAGCCTTGAGGAAGTTCCTGTGGAAAGATGACCCTTGCGTTCCACACCTCATCTACAGGGTGCAGTGGGAGAAGCTGGTGCAGCCCAGGTCGGCTGGAGGGCTGGGGTTGTTGGACCCCCGTGTTCAGGTTTCTGCGTTACAGATGCAGTCTGTTCTGTGGCTCCCTCTAGAGGATGATATGGAGCCTTGGAAGCTGGTCACATTGCGAGAGATGGCGGAGGCTATCAGGGTTCACCCGGCGGATGTTGAGACGACCCTTCTCCACCCTCAGCTTCTTCGAGGCCTTCGGCGAGGGGCGTTGTAGTCGGGTATCCTGCGAAAATGGTGGGAGGCCCCCCTAAGTCAGGCGGCTCCACGAACTTGTGATCAGATTTTGGGGCAGACTTTATTTGGGAACCGTTTCATACACCAGTCGGGCGCCCCTTTTTCATGGCAGGACTGCCCAGGTGCTTTCGGGAAGCAGTGGTTGGGATGTGGTGTGTATCGGGTTGTTGATATTTGGGACGTGCAGGGAGGTACGTGGAGGGAAGAAGGTGAGGTTTTGCGTCGATTGGAGCATCAACCGAAGAAGAAGGAAAGGTTGGAGGAGATTAAACAAGTGATTCCGCAGGATTGGATTGATTGCCTCATAACCAAGGATCGGATGCAAGGGGAATGGGTTACCTTGGAAGGGCAGGGCCGTCCGGTTATTTTCTTTCAGCTCAAAGAGAAGTTGGGTTCTCAGTGGTATGGGGCAGAGGCTTGGGAGGATGTCGGCCCATGTAAGGCGCTGGGTGATGTCCTTGTCGGACGGCCGGAGCGGGACGGTAGGCTTCATGAGGAGTGTATCAGGTCAGTTGTGGTGTTGAGGGATCAGTTGATTTCCAAGGGAGGAGGGTTTCGTGCCTTCAAGCCGGCCTACACGCCGCTCCAGCTCCTTTGGGATCCATCGGGTTGGGAATGGGCACCGAGGAATTCACTCATGAAGCATTGCAGAGTCCACCAGGTAACTACGAAGGTGATCTACAGGTCCCTGTTAGTCCCAACGGACATGGTTGATGAAATGCGAGAGAGGCGAAGGAAGAGGGGATGGTTGGATCAGAAAGCCCTGCTTTGTTGGGATGTCTTGACTTGGCGGAAGGCTTGTAGCGTGCTTGCCCTCCTCCCGGATCAGAAACATGCGGGGGGACTGTGGCCTTTGCCTTCAGTTGGCGCAACCTACTTATCAGTGGTTGGCGGACAAGTGTTCGCATAAAGACAGGTGTTGCAGGCACTGTCAAGATGATGTGGAATCTCTGCCTCATGTATGGCTGGAATGTGCGCCGCAAGTGGCTTTTTGGGAATGGTGGGATTCCTTGGGGGATGTGGTCC